AAACCAAATGAAACTGAACCGAAGCTAAAGAAACTGAACCGAATCTACTGTGCTGTTTAATTTCTGTTGTTAGGGGTATTTTGGTCAGAATCTGCCTTAATTGTCAAACCCTGAGAACCAAATCTCACTTTGCCAAATCGTGAGAGTAAATCTTTTTTTCATTGCTTTCGTGAAAATTTCTTATAAAAGAATTATCAGCCACATGATTTGTTGCCACACCGCACCATGATTAAAGTTATATAAAGAGATACCAAGACAGATTCAAAGTGAAAGAAAGTCCCAAAAACAAAAAACCAATTTTAAAAAACACAAACCCATTCGTGCGTCTGGCTAATTAAGTCAAAACACTAATGGACACTTCTTCTTCACTTTTGCTCTTCTCCTTCTTCTTCTTTATCATCATCGTCATCTTCAACAAGATCAACGGTCTCAGATCATCCCCAGCTACGAAGAAAAAACTTAACGATCATCATGTTATTTCTCACAGTCACGGACCAAAGTTTCCACAAGGAAGCTTGGGATGGCCTGTCATCGGTGAAACCATCGAGTTCATCTCTTCTGCTTACTCAGACCATCCCGAGAGTTTCATGGACAAGCGTCGAGTCATGTAACAACTGATCTTATCCCTCTCTCTATACGTGTTCTTTAATCTAAAAATTATAAATATACGTGTTTGTGTATGTGAAGGTATGGGAGAGTGTTTAAGTCGCATATTTTTGGAACGGCGACGATTGTGTCCACCGATGCTGAAGTGAACAGAGCCGTTTTACAGAGCGACTCGACGGCTTTCGTGCCATTTTACCCGAAAACGGTGAGGGAGCTAATGGGGAAATCGTCGATACTTCTGATCAACGGGAGTTTACATAGAAGGTTCCATGGACTAGTCGGTTCTTTCTTAAAGTCACCACTTCTCAAAGCTCAAATCGTTAGAGACATGCACAAGTTTTTGTCGGAATCCATGGATCTATGGTCCGAGGACCAACCTGTTCTCCTCCAAGACGTCTCCAAGACTGTTAGTATACTTCTCCCTTAATTTAAATATTTTCTTACAAAAATTCTGATAAATAATCCAATACGAGTTAATGTATTGATTAAGAAATCAAAAGGGATAATCATAATGATGTTACCATGAAAATATTAATTTATTTTAAAGAACATGGTTACAATTATTACATTTGATATAATGATTACAAGTTTCTCTTTCTAATTTGTTTAACAACTAATCATTACCCTTTTAGTTTTTTTTTCACATGTAATAATTTATTTTATTTTAATTGGTAGGTTGCATTCAAAGTACTTGCTAAGGCATTGATAAGTGTAGAGAAAGGAGAAGAGTTAGAAGAGTTAAAGAAAGAGTTTGAAAATTTCATATCAGGACTCATGTCATTACCAATTAACTTCCCTGGGACCCAACTTCATAGATCTCTCCAAGCTAAGAAGAATATGGTGAAGCAAGTTGAAAGAATCATAGAAGGTAAAATTAGGAGAGCAGAGAACAAAGAGGAAGATGGTACTGTGATTGCAAAGGATGTTGTGGATGTGTTGCTTAAGGACTCAAGTGAATATTTAACTCACAATTTGATTGCTAACAATATGATTGACATGATGATCCCTGGCCACGATTCTGTCCCTGTCCTCATCACCCTTGCCGTCAAATTCCTCTCTGATTCTCCTGCTGCACTCGATCTCCTAACGGTAATTAACTTAAATCATAATCAAGTGATAATAGTTCAGTAGTCAATTGGTAGCTATAATGATAGGCTTTTCTTTCTTTCACAATAGAAAAACAAATCAGTCATTCAAATAGATTAGTGATAAGTTGATATTAACTCGTGGCTATATGATTGCCACTAAAAATCTATAAGCTAATCTTACTTTATAGAATTCTTTTTTTTCACCAGGAAGAAAACATGAAGCTGAAAAGTTTGAAGGAATTGACAGGAGAGCCACTATATTGGAATGACTATTTGTCGTTACCTTTTACACAAAAGGTATGTATATTCTTCTTTTCCCTATTCATTAGTTAATTATCAACAAGGTGATTAATTACATTTTTAATTATCATCAGGTGATTACAGAGACACTAAGAATGGGAAATGTTATAATTGGAGTGATGAGAAAGGCGATGAAAGATGTTGAAATTAAAGGATATGTGATACCAAAAGGATGGTGCTTCTTGGCCTATCTCAGATCAGTCCATCTTGATAAGCTTTATTATGACTCTCCCTACAAATTTAATCCCTGGAGATGGCAAGTACGTAAAATCACCAAAATATACTTAACATATATAATCTTATACGTAATACGAACTATATATTTAACTAGATACACATTTGTTTATACAATAGGAAAGGGACATGAACACGAGTAGTTTCAGTCCTTTTGGAGGTGGTCAGAGATTGTGCCCTGGTCTCGATTTGTCTCGTCTTGAAGCTTCAATTTTTCTTCACCACCTTGTCACTCGCTTCAGGTAAATAGTCAATTACATGGATACAAAATTATTTATATATATTTATTTTACTTTTAAATTTGAAAACAAAAAAGGTTGTGGTAAGTGCTCTATACTTTACACAAAATGGTATGTTAGGACCAAATAAGTCTCATCTCTTTTTGACAAGTTGGACTAAACTCTTAAATGACAATTAAAATATCATATTGGGGGAGAAATTTAGGTATTATCAATTGAAAATCGCAATTATCAGTAAGAAAATAAATATGCCGATATGTAGTGACTTATTTGATAATATGTTGGTGATTGTGATATGCAGATGGATAGCAGAAGAAGATACAATCATAAACTTTCCAACGGTGCATATGAAGAACAAATTACCCATTTGGATCAAAAGAATATAAATTATTTTTCACTTTTGCATTATCAAACTCTAAAAGGTTAAAAGAAGTCACACGAGTGTTTTGTAAGTGGGAAGTGAAAAAGATAGTGAGACAGAAAAGACAGGAAAAAACAATGACAACATGATGGAGTTTGGAGACAAAAAAGGATTCACACGTGTGGAAGATAATAGCACACATGCCAACTATTTTGTCGTATTCCTTCACAAGGCAAATAAGGACAGAATCACAAAACCTTTTTGTTGACCGTGTAATATCTCCTTTTCCTCTCTTTTTTTTTTTAGTACAAAGGTGTATGATATATATAGATGCAAGATATATAGAAGGAAATCCTAATTTTCACGACTATTTCCTCTTTTTCTTTGGTTTTAATGTTAAGGACGACTAATCCTGTTCGTATATTCATTAACTAAGAGAATCAGTAACTGATTAGATAGGTTATTATAAGATTTTGAGATGAGGAAAGTTAAGGGACAACTTTTGGCCCCTAATAATTTAGATGGAATAATGAATGATTAAAGCATGTGATATCTTTTCTCCTCCAATGAGATGATATGATGTAATTAACATAACAACCCACTGAAATTGATTTAAACATGACAAGACAAGAAGGGTTTATTGTTTCGACTGAACATCACTAACAACCGGATCATCATATTCTATCACTAACCAATAATTGTACTATATTACATTTTTCTCACTATTGTGACTACGAGTTGTTAACTTTCACCTCAGAATCACACAATAGCCTTTAGAATTGATTTGGATAAAAGGGCTTCACATTTCATAGATCCGTAATTAAGCCTTTTAAAGGCCCAAAAGTAATGCATAGTGGCAAAGCCTATATATATTAACAAGACGGGCGACATGTTTAGACAGCTATGGATTTTTTTCTTATTTTATCGCCGCCGTTGTGAAATCACGCAAAGTGAAAAAAGGGTTTTGAGCTTTTCGTGTTTTTTTCTCACTTTTTTTAGTTTTTCAAGACCTTGATTTTCATGTATGGTTAGTTATTTTCCGTTTGGCTGATTAGTCCAGCTCGAAATTTCGTTGTTTAAGCTTATAGGGTTTTGTTTTCTCGATTTTTAAGGTGAAGTTTGCATGGCTTTGGAGTCTGGAGAAAACCTTTTTTATTTTTAATGTAAGTGGAAAATTTCAGAGATGCTAATCCAATAGATGGCAGATACGTTTTACAATCACGAATCTTGTATGATCACTAACCATTGGAAGTAAAAGAGTATATATGACTTCGAACGGTTTGCAATACGGAGGCTCATATCAACCCTTTCTTCTTGCTAATATTGCAAGCCGTTCAAATTGAAATAGTCATCAGTTAGTTCTAGGTTGGTGATCATAAAGGATTGGTAACAGTGAAACATATCCCCCATCTATTGGGATTAATTAGTGTCCCTGAATAGTCGTGAGAGAACCTTGTTTGTGTCTTTCCTTTACGGCAGACACCAGAGACTGGAAGACCTATACACCATGAGTCTGACTCGCTAAAGAAATCCTATCGATGCGGATTGTCCAAGGGAGAGCATGTGTGATCACGTTAGTTGTCTTGGGCCAATATCTTATGTAATTGGGTTAATACAAATGTAATTGGGCTGACTAGGACTATAAATATTAAATAATCTACTCATTGTTCCTGCCGACATTACACGTGGCGAAAGAGTAGTTAGATGCCAGAGAGACTCCTCTAGAAAGTGGTCACGTGTAGCCTATGTGACAATTCAATAATGCCCATCTCGCTCGGTGACACCGTGTCTCTTACTTTATCATTAGTCTTTCAAATTAATTATGTAGTCCTTCAACATGTAAAATTGTAAATCATCTACCTATATAAATTGCTGTTACCCAAATGCCAAATCTCGAAAATCTAGATTTATAATTTTCAGACATTGACCAAGTAGTGAATCAAATCCTTACGCTACACTATATTGTAATATTATCACGTTATTTGTGGAAAACAATCACGATCTAATCTTTTAAAAACACGATCTAATTTTTTTTTTTTTTTTTTGTCACGGGAAAAAAAAAACACGATCTAATTAATCTTGTTTTATTCCATAAACAAAATGTGTATCACCTAATTCTTTGGACCTTTCATAATTCATATATACATAACAACAGTCTTTTCATTTACTTCTCTATTCAATCTCACACGCGCTAAACTTTAACGCGATATTACTAATGACGAACTACGGTGCGATTCCGACTTCGTCTCATGCATCTCCGGCGGTGGATCATGAGTCCTTCTCACGCGCCAAGCACCGTATCAAAGCCGGACTAGCCACGCGCCGTCCTTGGAGAGTGATGTTCGATTTCCACTCCATGGGACTACCTCACAGCGTCTCCGAAGCTTTCACAAGAATCAAGACCAATCTTGCTTACTTCCGTATGAACTACGCAGTCGTTGTCTTGATCGTTATCTTCTTCAGCTTGATCTGGCATCCGACCTCGCTCATCGTTTTCACCGTCTTGGTCGCTGTTTGGATCTTTCTTTATTTCCTCCGTGACGAGCCTCTCAAGCTGTTCCGATATCAGATCGATGATCGGACGGTCTTGATTGTTTTATCGGTGTTAACCGTTGTTCTACTTCTGTTGACCAACGCGACGTTTAATATTGTTGGAGCGCTTGTGACCGGAGCTGTGTTGGTTTTGATACATGCGGTGGTTAGGAAGACGGAGGATCTTTTCTTGGATGAAGAAGCGGCGACGACTGAGACTTCTGGGCTGACGTCATACCCGTCGACTTAAACCGATTATTCTCGAACTTTGTGTTTTTTTTTTTTGTATATTATCTTTGTTTTTTTAATAATCATTTTTATGTGTTATCAATTTTTATTGGTGTGACTTGTGAGTTTGGTTTGAGACTCTCTTCTCTCTTTTGTTTTTGAGCTTTGAGTTACTGTCTGAAGTTTGAACAATTCTAAATTGTTACAATTTTTTTTATATTATTCTAAACTGTGAACAATTCTGAGTTTGAATGATTTAATCTGAAATATTTTAAACACAATAGGAATCATTTGGATTAATCAACCGAATAGGAACATAAATCAATTGAATCACTTTCTACAACTAGCTCAATAATGTCAACTCTTCGGTTTTTTTGGTAGATGCTTTAGTTTTGTCACTTTTTTGTCGGTGTTGAGAATTAGTAAAGAAGAACACAAGAAATGAAGAAGCTTGAGGAACAAGTAATGCCAGCAATGCAATAAGACACGTCAGACGCAGGACCACAAGACTCGAGTAGCCGTTTGCTTTGGTCACTAAAGCAACGTTTGAATGGTTAAAGCATTTCTTGTCTGGTTGTGGTAAAGAGACTCGCTGGATAAGCTCTACCCAAAGGAGCTAGAAGACAAATGCGAGAGGCAACTTCCTGGAAGCTGCAAAGGAGCGTCTTGAGGACTAAACGGGAAGGATCCAGAAGGAACCTAGGTTAAGTTCTCTTTGTCTATTTAAGCTGAGCATTGGGGAGAGAGAGAGGGTTAAGAAACGCAGAGACATTCAATTGGGAGTAAACTTGTATTGAGTGTTCTTGGGGAAACAGAGAGTGAAAGAGAGTGAATCAGAGGTAGCTTTGTAAAGGGCTGTGAGGGTGAGAGATCTCTTTGTAAATCTCAAAGGTTATAGTGGATTCCGGGAAAGATTTCCCGGCCCAGACGTAGCACCGTTGGTGTGAACTGGGTTAACAATCTCGTGTGTGCTCTGTTTTTCGTGTTAGCAAAGCTCTTCCATTTATTCTAAACACTCAAAGCTCTGTTCTTTACAAGTTCTGATTCGAAAGAAGGGAAAACACCATTACAAGCCTTGGTAGAAGTTGGTCTAAACTTCACAAAGTGGTATCAGAGCCTTGGTTCTTTGTATTGGCGGTTCTGTAAGGTTCTTACAAAACAAAGAAGCCATGTCGTCGGCAAAGGTTAAAATGGAGAAGTTCGATGGACGTGGAGACTACACACTGTGGAAGGAGAAGCTCATGGCTCACATGGATCTGTTGGGTCTAACAGTAGCTCTCAAGGAAACACAGGTGGTCTCAGATCCAAAGGAGTTAGAAGAGGAAGGGAAAGAACCAGAACAAGGAGAGAAAGAAGCTCTGATGGAGGAAAAGAGACAGAAAGCAAGGAGCACCATTGTTTTAAGCGTCTCAGATCAAGTGTTGAGGAAGATCAAGAAAGAGAAGACTGCAGCTTCTATGTTGAATGCCTTAGACAAACTGTACATGTCCAAGGCTCTTCCAAACCGCATTTATCTGAAACAAAAGTTATATAGCTTCAAGATGCAAGAGAACTTGTCTGTTGAAGGAAACATAGACGAGTTCTTGCGTCTTATTGCTGATCTTGAAAACACAAACGTGTTAATCTCTGATGAAGATCAAGCCATCCTGCTACTGATGTCATTACCAAAGCAGTTTGATCAACTGAAAGATACTCTGAAGTATAGCTCAGGCAGAGCAACATTATCTGTTGATGAAGTTGTAGCAGCTATATACTCAAAGGAGCTGGAGCTCGGCTCAAACAAGAAGAGTATACGGGGATAAGCAGAGGGTCTGTATGTCAAGGAGAAAAATGAGACAAGAGGCAGACCAGAGCAGAGAGAAAAAGGCAACAGGAACAACCGATCAAGATCAAGATCTAAAGAGAAGAAAAAGTGTTGTTGGATTTGTGGAGAGGAAGGTCATTTCAAGACCTCATGCCCTAACAAGGGAAAATCACAAGTCAAAGGAAAGGACCAAGCGAGTAGCAGCAAAGGAGAGGCTGCGGTGGTCAAAGGAAACACGCTTGATGGTTCAGGCTTGTATGTGTCAGAAGCACTCCATTCAACGGATGTAAATCTTGAGAATGAGTGGATCATGGACACTGGCTGTAGCTACCATATGACTCACAAGAAGGAATGGTTTGAAGAACTGAGTGATGATGCAGGAGGCTCTGTAAGGATGGGAAATAAGACCACTTCAAAGGTCAGAGGCATTGGGAATGTCAGAATCAGAAACAGAGACGGCTCAACAGTTTTGCTCACTCAAGTAAGGTACATTCCTGACATGGATCGAAATTTACTTTCTATGGGAACCTTAGAGGAACAAGGATGTAGTTTTGAGTCTAGTAATGGAGTCTTGAAGATTAAGGAAGGAAATAGGACTCTATTTGTTGGTAGCAGGCATGAGAAGCTTTACTTACTTCAGGGTAAACCAGAGAATGGTCATTTGCTGAATGTTGAAAGAAAGAATGATGACACAGTCTTATGGCACAGAAGACTAGGCCATATTAGTCAGAAGAATATGGATATTTTGGTCAAGAAAGGGTACCTAGACCGAAAGAAAGTCTCAAGATTTGAGATGTGTGAAGACTGCATCTATGGTAAAGCGAGAAGATTGAGTTTTGTTATGGCTACACACGGTACAGAAGATAAGTTAGACTATGTTCACTCTGACTTATGTTGAGCGCCATCGGTTCCGTTATCCTTGGGAAAATGTCAGTACTTCATCTCATTCATAGATGACTACTCAAGAAAGGTGTGGGTTTATTTTCTCAAGCACAAGGATGAAGCTTTTGGTACCTTTGCTGAATGGTGTGTCATGGTAGAAAACCAAACAGAGAGAAAGATCAAAATTCTAAGGACCGACAATGGACTTGAATTTTGCAATCTTCAGTTCAGCGAGTTCTGCAAGGAAAGAGGCATTGTCAGACATAGAACATGTGCCTACACGCCTCAACAAAACGGTGTTGCAGAAAGAATGAATCGCACAATAATGGAGAAAGTCAGGAGCATGCTGAGTGATTCTGGCTTACCAAAGACATTTTGGGCTGAAGCTACAAGCACTGCAGTAACCCTCATCAATAAGACACCCTCATCTGCAATTAACTTTGAGATTCCTGACAAGAAATGGTCAGGTAAGCCTCCTGTCTATAGCTATCTAAAAAGATTTGGCTGTGTTGCTTTTGTTCATGCAGATGAAGGCAAGTTAGTACCTAGAGCAAAGAAAGGAGTCTTCTTAGGCTATCCTAAAGGAGTTAAAGGGTACAAGGTCTGGTTAATGGAGGAAAAGAAGTGCAGTGTCAGCAGACATGTAGCATTTCAAGAAAATGCAGTCTACAAGGATTTAATTCAGAAGAATAAAGACTCTGATCAAGAACAAGAAGAAACATCAAGTGGGTCTCTAGACATTGATCTTGAAGAAACAGGTGACATGAGTTCTGGTGGAGATCTCTCGGAAGAAACAGGATCCCTGGGAGATCACACACCATCTCAAGGAAGTCACCAACCTGAAGAAACAGAGATCAATGAGGAAGTGGTAAACAATTCACCAGAAAGTTACCATTTGGTCAGAGACAGAGTCAGGAGGGAGATTAAAGCTCCAAGACATTTTGATGTGGAAGGATACTACAGTGAGTTCACTGATGATGATGAAGAGTACTTTGATGCGGAAGCCCTAGTCACCACATTTGATGGAGACACCATTGAGCCTGCAAATTATCAAGAAGCTCTAAGAGATGATGATTGGGAATTGTGGAAGGGCGGTATGGATGAAGAAATGGACTCTCTGGTGAAGAATCACACATGGACTGTAGTCACTAAGCCTGCAGGACAGAGAGTCATAGGCTGCAAGTGGATTTTCAAGCGTAAGCCTGGAATTCCTGGGGTTGAAAAGCCAAGATTTAAAGCAAGGCTCGTTGCTAAAGGGTATGCACAAAGAGAAGGAGTAGACTACACTGATATATTCTCACCTGTGGTGAAACATGTGTCTATAAGGATACTGCTAGCCATTGTTGCAGAAGAAGACTATGAACTTGAACAGTTAGACGTCAAAACCGCATTTCTTCATGGAGAGCTAGAAGAAAAGATTTACATGGAAGCTCCAGAAGGTTTTGAAAGTCAATTCAAGTCTGATCAAGTGTGTCTCCTGAACAAGACCTTGTATGGTCTGAAGCAGTCACCAAGGAGATGGAATCAAAAGTTTGACAGTTACATGCTGGAAATTGGTTTTGAAAGGAGCCCGCGTGACAATTGTGCATACATCAAGACAATGGAGGATGGTTCTAAGGTCTACTTACTCCTATATGTCGATGACATGTTAGTGGCTGCGAGAGATATGAAAGTTATCTCAGAGTTAAAGCAGAAACTCAGTGAGAAATTTGAAATGAAGGACCTTGGAGCAGCAAAGAAGATATTGGGCATGGAAATTTCAAGAGACAGAGTCAAGGGAACTCTCACTTTGTCTCAAGAAGATTATTTAAGTAAGGTACTGGAAGTCTACAATATGGAGCAGTGCAAGTCTGTTGTGACACCTCTGGGTGCTCACTTAAAAATGCATGCTGCAACAGAGCAACAATTGCTCAACGATGAAGAGTACATGAAGTCAGTACCTTACTCTAATGCCGTGGGAAGCATTATGTACTCCATGATTGGAACAAGACCAGATTTGGCCTATTCTGTTGGTATTATCAGTCGGTTCATGAGCAAACCGATCAAGGAGCATTGGTTGGGAGTTAAGTGGGTACTTAGGTACATTAAAGGAAGTCTCAAGATGAAGTTGTGTTACAAGAAGGGAGCAGACTTCATACTTAGAGGATACTGTGACTCAGACTACGCTGCAAATATTGACAACAGAAGGTCAACAAGTGGAATGGTGTTCACACTTGGTGGAAGCACCATAAACTGGAGGTCATGTTTACAGAAAGTAGTGGCTATTTCTACTACTGAAGCCGAATATATGTCTCTCACTGAAGCTGTTAAGGAGGCAATATGGCTTAAGGGGTTGTTAAAGGATTTTGGCTATGAACAAAAGACTGTGGAGATCTTTTGTGATTCTCAAAGTGCCATAGCCTTGTCAAAGAACAATGTGCATCATGACAGAACGAAGCACATTGACATCAAGTATCACAAGATCCGTGAAGTAATTGCGGATGGAGTTGTGGAAGTCCAGAAGATATCTACACTGATCAACCCTGCAGATACCTTCACCAAGATAGTACCCGTCAGCAAGTTCAAGTCAGCTTTGGACTCGCTACGTGTAAAGGCTGAGTAATCAAACTCAGGACCGGGAAAGGAATCCTAAACTATAACAAGTCAAGTTCAATCTCTCTAAGGTATCATCGCTTCTTCTGTTCCATGTTTCATGTTCTTACTTTACTAGGTGGAGATTTGTTGAGAATTAGTAAAGAAGAACACAAGAAATGAAGAAGCTTGAGGAACAAGTAATGCCAGCAATGCAATAAGACACGTCAGACGCAGGACCACAAGACTCGAGTAGCCGTTTGCTTTGGTCACTAAAGCAACGTTTGAATGGTTAAAGCATTTCTTGTCTGGTTGTGGTAAAGAGACTCGCTGGATAAGCTCTACCCAAAGGAGCTAGAAGACAAATGCGAGAGGCAACTTCCTGGAAGCTGCAAAGGAGCGTCTTGAGGACTAAACGGGAAGGATCCAGAAGGAACCTAGGTTAAGTTCTCTTTGTCTATTTAAGCTGAGCATTGGGGAGAGAGAGAGGGTTAAGAAACGCAGAGACATTCAATTGGGAGTAAACTTGTATTGAGTGTTCTTGGGGAAACAGAGAGTGAAAGAGAGTGAATCTGAGGTAGCTTTGTAAAGGGCTGTGAGGGTGAGAGATCTCTTTGTAAATCTCAAAGGTTATAGTGGATTCCGGGAAAGATTTCCCGGCCCAGACGTAGCACCGTTGGTGTGAACTGGGTTAACAATCTCGTGTGTGCTCTGTTTTTCGTGTTAGCAAAGCTCTTCCATTTATTCTAAACACTCAAAGCTCTGTTCTTTACAAGTTCTGATTCGAAAGAAGGGAAAACACCATTACAAGCCTTGGTAGAAGTTGGTCTAAACTTCACAGTCGGCTTATGTTATCTCTGTTTACCTCTTTTCACAAGTTTTTTCTCAAGAAAAATAATAATTCATAACATTATGAACTCAAAAAAGATTGCAATGAATATTCCCTTTTTGCTTGACGTCCAAAAAAAAAAAAAAATCAACTTTTGTTGGGTCCTTTCAAATGCTATGAAAGTCTCTATCTATACAAATATTGTAGTGATTAATTTTTTTTATGGGTTCAATGATTTAAAATTTTCCAAATTTAATTGGGCCTTAAAATCTTAGTCCATGTAATTCTAAACGGACGCCGTTAGATATGTAACACTACTAGCCTGTCACACATGTTGTACGCGCAGCTCCCTTCGGCGCTTAACACCACCGCAAAACTTGCCGCCGGTTAGTACAAGAAGCAAACCGGTGAAAATGGCGTATCACCAACCGTAGAATATACTCCGTCTATCAACCTCATTCTCATCTTCATAATCTTGTTAACTCAAATACACTGGACGGGGCAGACCAAGTTTTTCTAATTCAATTTGATCAGACATTGACCAAACTGAATCAATTTCTAACGCTACAATATTTTTTTATAACATCACGCTACGTTATTTTTTTTTTTTTTTTTTTTTTTTTTTTTTTTTTTTTAAAAAGAAATATATATTAATAATTGGGCTTCCCAACAAGAATTGGGCCAAAGCCTTGAGTTTACAACAGGAAGAACAGTTACAAAATGGGAAAACAGAAAATGTCTTTTGCGTCACCGGAGGGAAGATCGGATCCTGCTGATGGACGGAGGCAGAGAAAAGGTAGGAATTCCAGCAAACACGAGACCCACGGTTTTGAGGCAGCTGCACCAGATCAGAACCATCATTGGAAGTGTTTGAATCCCAACTCCAGTTCGAATCCGATAAGCCACCTAACCCACTACAAACCTCCTGGACTACACTTAAAACCGACAACCGGTTCTACCGATGTTAAGTCCCGATCCAAGCAACCTAACATACTGGAATCTAACACCTCCCTCCCGATCCGCGACTTCCGAAATCCCAGAGCAAAGAACTTTCAAATCCGGTTAGGTGGATGCATCCTCGCGGCGGGTCACAGCGGATGATGGCTCAAACTAACCCACAAAACCCGGATTCCACGAGAGCCTTCAAGAATCCCAAGGACCATCGGTTAACCACCTAACAAAACAACGCACCCACCGTTTCCCCACCGACTTCCGCCGTGGTAGCAGCTTCGGGAAGGAGGAAGAGCCACGATAAGACACCACCGCGAGTCCCTGGCGTCCTCAAACCAGAGCAGCTCGACCTCGGGTCTTATCAGCCTCCTAACCCTAGCCACAACCACATCGAGTGGGAGAAAACAACCACGCCTCTGTTGTCGGAGAAAGAACTTGCTCACCGCTGCTCTCCGATTGCAAAACAAATTTTCTGTGGAAAACAATCGCGATCTAATGTTTTAAACATCATCCAATTTATTTTGTTTTATTCCATATGCAAATGTCTATCACCTCAAAATTCAAGAGACCTTCATATACTATATAGTATATACAGAGCCAAAACTATAAATCAGGACAGTTTTACATTATTTCTCTAGTCCTCTTACTAAATAATGACGAACAACAACGCGATTCCGACGTCGTCTCATGCATCTCCGGCAGCGAATCACGAGTCTATCTCACGCGCTAAGCAACATATCAAAGACGGACTCGCCACACGCCGCCCCTGGAGGGTGATGTTCGATTTCCACTCCATGGGACTACCTCACGACGTCTCCGATGCTTTCTCAAAAATCAGGACGAATCTTGCTTACTTCCGGAGTAATTACGCAATCGTAGTCTTGAACGTCATCTTCTTCAGCTTGATTTGGCATCCGACCTCCCTCATCGTCTTCGCCGGCTTGGTTTTCCTATGGATCTTCCTTTACTTCCTCCGTGACGAGCCTCTCAAAGTGTTCCGATTTCAGATCGACGATCGTGCGGTCTTGATTGGTTTATCGGTGATAACCATCGTTCTTCTCCTGTTGACCAACGCGACGTTTAATATTGTTGCGGCGTTGGTGGCCGGAGCTGTGTTGGTTCTGATCCATGCGGTGGTTAGGAAGACGGAGGATCTTTTCTTGGTTGAAGAGGCAGCGACGACTGACGTCACACCCTTCGTCTTAAAACAATTAATCTCGAATTTAATGTATATTATATTGTTTTTGATCATCTTGTGTAATAATTTATGGTGTAAGTTTGGTTTCAGTCTCTCTCTCTCTTTCTGTTTTTTGAGTTTTGAAGTTTGAACAAGCTTAATAATGTCAAAGTCTTCGCCTTTTTTTGGCGGGCTGCTTACTTTTATAACTTTTTGTCGCCTTCTCTAAGAAAAAAAAGATCACAGTATGATTGGGCCACTCATTAAGGCCCAATAAACTCAGCCCATAAAATTCGAAAAGGAAAGTGTTTAAACAGTGCGTCACATTACCATTTACACGTCAGCTCTCTTCGCCGGCGCTTATTGCAACCGTCAACTTCGCCGCCGGCCAGAGAAAAAAATGGCGTATCACCAACCGTACGATCCTTTCTACGTCTATCAACCTCATTCTCATCCACATCATCTTCTGCCGCAGCTGCCACAGTTCGCCGACGAACCTGGGGCGATAAACACTCTCTTTGTCTCTGGTTTGCCTAACGATGTTAAAGCTCGTGAGATCCACAATCTATTCCGTCGCCGTCACGGATTCGAATCTTGTCAGCTCAAGTACACTGGACGCGGCGACCAGGTTTGTAAATTCCCATCTTTAGAAAAACTGTATACTTTGTGGTTTTATCGATGCTAAGATTTCTGAAATTAGCTCTCTTTTTGTCTTACTGGGTATGTCAGGTGGTGGCATTTGCAACATTCACGAGTCATAGATTCGCTATGGCTGCAATGAATGAGCTAAATGTAAGTTTCACTTTGATCGAATTGTGTGACTCTATTGGTGATATTGTTACATTGATTGTGGTGAAACCTTTTTTTATTAGGGTGTGAAATTTGATCCTCAAACAGGATCAACTCTACATATAGAACTAGCTAGATCAAACTCTAGAAGAAAAGAAAGGCCAGGTATTTTGGTGACTTTACACTCTTCTTGTTGTTGAGTTAGTGACTTAGTGGTAGATAAATCGATGGAGTAATAATAAACAGTCTGTGGACAGGAAGTGGGCCTTATGTTGTGATTGATAACAGAAACAAGGAACCTTCTAAGTCTCAGGATGACCAGAGTGATGAAGGTATTGTTCTGGTTACCCTGTGAATTCCTAATTTATTAAATGTATGAATGCTTAATCCTTGATGCATCTAGGGGATAGCGATCCAGATGAGGCGCATGAACCTGGAAATAACGATTCTCCAAAGGAAAACGATAATGCCAAAAGGTTGAAAAATGGCAATAAGAAGCTTGGTTTTGTAGTTCTTTAGGGTCAAAAGCAGAAGACTAATGTATGCTGATTTCTTTGCAAATTTACAGCGAAGCGGATTCTGAGGCAGATAGTAAAGCACCATCTGCTAATGTAAGTATAAGCCAAATCTAATCTTTTAACCAGTCGATATAACTCTATTTCTCAAGTTCGTTGAAAATTAAGAAAATCTAATTTGTTACTGTAAGTAGCTTCCATATATACTTGTTTATGGTTCAGTAGCTTATTGATACATTTATACAGGGGCACTTAGAGAAAGCATCTGAAGGAGGTTCTGGTGCTCGAGCTTGTTCGACCTTGTTTATAGCTAATCTAGGGCCTAATTGTACAGAAGATGAACTTAAACAACTCCTATCTAGGTAACCTTGTGCAATAGCTTACACCTATAGCATTAGGATTTGCATGTTTCTCCAAAAAATCATTGGTTTTTGCCTTTCTGAAATTCGATTGATCTGATCCATTTGCTTACAGATATCCTGGTTTCAACATCTTAAAAATCCGAGCTAGAGGCGGAATGCCGGTTGCATTTGCTGATTTTGAGGTATAAGTTGTTATACATGCTTTTGATTTTGTCTTTGCAATCTACATACTTATTCTCACCAATTACAGGAAATCGAGCAAGCTACTGATGCCATGAATGAACTTCAAGGGAACCTCTTATCCTCTTCAGACCGAGGCGGCATGCATATAGAGTAAGAGTAGTTTTTCTTGCATTTGTTTAATTAGTTTAAATTTCACATATTGCCAGATTATTACACTCATGTTTATTAGAGCTAACCAAGTCCAAATGTCACGATCTGGTTCTTGTTTATTCCAGATATGCAAGATCAAAGATGAGGAAACAGTAAAGAATTCATAACCACAAAGCCTCACTTATCAAATGGAGAATGTGGTCGGTAATGTACTACATGCCAATGGTAGTCTCTTATGAAAACGAGATATATAGAGATCATAAGCAAATGAAAGCTGTATTTCTTATTTTAAATCTCCACTTACTATTTGTTGTCATGAAGATGGATCTTCTTTGCTGACACTGACTTAAGAAATACATGTTAATATTTTTATTCAAGACTCCAAATTTACTAATAAGATCTCTAAAATCTTATGTTTATATGAGCACTCAGATTGAAAGAGACAATCAGTATCAGATATTGTCATGATCCGGTGAGTAAAATCCATGGAACCTCTGAACGTACTGCCCCACCAAAGTCGTCGCTATCTTTGGGCTTTTCTTGTGTGCTCAAAATTGTTAATTGGTGATGCGGATAAGTAGAAAAGATACTGAGGACCAATGCATCACTGTATTGACAGGCGAAGTCAGATTCATCTCTCTCTTTCTCTTTCATGCACCATTATTACAATTTTGAAGACTTCCAATGTCGATGTCGTAAGGAGAAGCCCTCTCAGTGTTTTGTTTTCACCTGTTCCTCTCTCTCTTCTGCAGAACAATTCTTTAGACTCTCCAAAACCAATAATTCAAATTCAAAGAAGAGAAAAAAGCCTCGTTGTTTTGTTCTTTTAATAATTCCTTTACCAAAAACAATTTAAAATACCTTGATAACATATTTAGCAACTGTTTTTGCATCTTACCCCACTATACAAACAAAAAAAGCTGTGTTGCCAGCTTTGGGACCACATTACTTAAAACAGAGGACTTTACTAAATACCCTATCAGCTAAACTTATCATAAGCCAAAGTTGTGTGATTAGTAATGCTTGTTATGGTTTAGTTCAAACCTCTGGCTTCTTTCCCTCTCCCTCAAAGCTAGTCTTGGCGTTTCAACGGACAGCCTTTCACTGAACCTATCCGACCCATCATTCGTTAGCTGACCGCTGTAATGATCCACCCAGAACCTCCCGCTTCTGTTGCCTGCCTCTGAACCTGGAGTTGATGCGTAGTTTCCATCCATTATCATATCTCCTTCCAGTATACGCAACACCTTCATTATTTTACCACAAGTTTTAGTATCATCAGAAACTTAAACTGAATGATCCTGAAACTGAGACTGAAGAGTGATTTCAAGAAGAGCTTTTAGTTACCTGAGACATGCGTGGCCTCAAATGTGGATCTCTACGTATGCACAACGAAGCTGCATGAAGCATACAAATGACCTCACTTTCTACAAAACGGTTCCCAAGCCTCGGATCGATAAGTTCGTCTATCGCATATTCTTCCAGTAGAGGACGTGCCTGAGATCACAAGCCACAAAAGGAGAGTCAGTTCTGTTACTTAGCTGAAAAATCAAGATATGAATTCATTACCCATTCAGTGAGGCATTGCTGGCCTTTCGGCCTGGTGATATCAATGGCTTTGCGGCCAGTGACTAGCTCAACTAGAACAACCCCGAACGAGTAGACATCAGCTTTTTCTGTGATTTGTCCGCTTTGAGCATATTCTGGAGCTAGATAGCTGCACACCAACAAAGTAATTTCTTTTAGCAACATGTTAAATTTCAGGAGCAATATGACAGCTTTAGTAGGTGTCTCACCCAAAGGTTCCTATCACTCGTGTATCTACACCCAGTTCCCCATCAGGCTGCCATCTCGCTAGACCAAAATCTCCAACCTGATGATATTATCGAAGTTGACTCAGGACGAAAAAGCATCCGCTGTTACAATGAATGAGCAAGACCATATTTATACATACCAGTGGCTCATTATCATGAGTGATGAGGATGTTGTTAGGACGCATGTCTCGGTGGACAATACAGCCAACTCTGCACTCTTCGTGAAGATACCGAAGACCTCTTGCAGCTCCAACAGCAATCTTTTGCCGTGCAGGCCATTCCAGGGTTTCCTTTTGACGACCTGGAAAAGAGCTTGATATTGAGCAAAACATTTTTCACCACAAGAGCTCCAATGGAAACTTTAAGCAACATTACCATATAGATGTGAGTCAAGTGAACCATTGCATATGTATTCATAGACCAAGAGCCGTCTGCTGTCTTCAATGCAGAAACCAATTAGCATAACGACGTTTCTGTGCTGAGCACAACTGAGAACTTCCACTTCGGAGCAAAACTCTACATCTCCTTGAGAGCTGGCCAGTTTGTGTTGCTTTACTGCAACTACCTGGCCTTCCGGTAGAACACCCCGATGAACAGATCCATACCCACCCTCAGCCAAGAAGTTAGCCTGTGAAAACCCACCTGTTGCAAGCTCTAACTCAGCGTATGAAAACAGCCTTGGGGGTTTCCCAAATACTGGCGCCTTGTGCTGGCAAATAGAACAGAGAGGAGGTGGACCAGGAGGAGCACTTCGAGATAGTGATATTGCATCTCTTACGTTCCCACTAAACTCTAAATCAATCCTTCGGCTAGACGACAACCCAGTTTCAACATCAAGTTTAGAGAACTTCTCAAGCAAATCCTTTGTAGTGGATATTTGAGCCCTGTCATCATTTTTCCATAGGCTTTCTTCGGCCTCCTGGGATGAGTGGCGATGGGTACCGATATATTCTGATATCCATGGCTGGAATCTCATACTCGTTGACGCTAATGATTGGTTTTCGCTCTCTGTTTCAGAGCCAGAATCATCAAGACCATCATTCTCCTTGATCACCAGTGCTCCATCCTTCTTCATGTATCCGCTCATTCCCAATGTGAAAAAGGGTGAAGTTCCCGGGTCAGAGCTCGACACTGATGAAGTCCCAGCTTCGGTACTTGTGAATGGTGTCCCCAGCTCAGGGCTGCTAGTAGGAGTGACAGGTAGTCCTCTATCAGAATCTAACGACCCTTTAGTGTTCTTCGTCTGTTTCTCAGATGCTGCTTCTGGTCCAGATAGTAAGGAAGACTCTTTTTCAGCATCTTTCTTAGGCGATCCAACCAAGTTTAGGCGTAGAACTTTTGCCTGAGAACGCTTCATAACCACAATGTTACATTGCAGTTCATCCATACACCGTTTCTCTTCCTGCTTCAGGTGTCTGTAAAAAAAACCACAAAAGATCACAGTGTAAATTGGTGAAAGCAAATATAATTGTTCAACCCAATATTAAGAGATTTAAACCACAAAATGTTTACAAAACTAAAGGAAAAAGACGGGATCTATATGAAAGTAGAGATTATTACTTGTCCATTACTACCCAGTTTGCTTGCGCTTTCTTCGACTCAGATGCAACTGCTCCACAGGGTGATCCAGAAACAATCTTAATCTTGACATTTATCTTCAAAGCAATCACAAAGAACAACAAAATAGCATGAGAAACATGTGATGGTTTCACGGGATCATCATAGCTAAACAAGGATACCTAGAGAGCCAACCTTATTCGGGTCATAGACATCATGAAGCTGGAGAATCATTTGGGAACAAGTGTCAGTGAGATCACTTTTAATCTCTGGTAATGCTTCAGAATGTGATTTCCGATGACCACTTGCACAATCCCCAGCAAACATAGGGAAACTCCTAGTGAAACCCCAAAGTTTCCGTCCTACACATTCATCAGAAAGCAAATGAGATAAAAATCAATCAACATAACACAAGACCAGAACAAACAACTAAAGACCAACGAAAACAGCAGCAAGAAAAGTACCGGAGTTGTGAGAAGGGACAACAACAATAAGAGTAATGCAATCCCCAGGCTGAACAACATGAGTCAAAGCCCAAATCAAGGCTGTCTTTGGAATCTCCCTAGACGCTTTAACAGCCACAATAACCTTTTCAGCTCCATCAGAAACTACAGGCTTTTCCTGTTTCCCTCGCTTCTGTAGTCTACTCATTTGAAGATACCAATACAAGAAAGAAGAGAAGAGATTTTCTTGGACCCTCTTTTTGTTTTCTCTGTATAATAACACAATCCTCAGAGAAATTGTACTTTGTCGGAGAGATAAAAAAAGCTCACAAGATTCTGGAAGATACAAGGATTTTAGCTTTGCATTATTTGGGCTATGCCCCCACCAAGTTGAAAATCAAGACAAGAACCAAAGACTCTCTCCTTTGATTAGTCATTCCAGTAAGACCTTGCAGCAGATGAATACAAAACTCACGGACATGACAAGACGTCTTCTTTCCCTCTTCTCCAATGAATCACATGAAACTTCAAGAACACAGAAGATCCTTCTTTGATTCAAACCCAAGATCCCAAAAGATGCCCAGCTAATAAAAAGCAAAAGCGACCAAATAGATTCCTATCCTCTCAAAATCCAATCACTTTTTTGAATCTTCTTCCTTCCTTGTGTCAAATCACTTCTAAGTCAAAGCTATTACAGCCTCTTGATTTTGGATCTGACACCAACAAACAGACAAAAACTGTCTCTGTGTTCTCTGCCTCAAGAGCAAGACCCAAAAAAAGATCGCTCTAAAGCTCAAAATTCCACCTGCAAAAGAGTAAACGAAAGATTGTGATTAAAGAAGAACCAAAGAAAGAAGACGGTGAAGAAAACTCGCAATGGGTGAAGATTAACACCTAAAAATCGAATTTTTAAAAAACGAATTTTTGAAGAGAATAAAAAGGAATTATCGCAGCGATTTCAACAATAAACCAATAAGAATGGATGATAGATTTACATATATATATTTAATTATTTTCATCGCAAACTGCCAGAGAAAGAAGACTATAGTAATAAAATTACTACAGAACCAAAAAAAAGATTCACCAGTTAAGCTCTCATGAAAGTCACCGCCGTGAAAACGATTAAACAAACTATAGGAGTGAGACCAGACGAAGAAGAAGAACACAAACAATTGAGGGAAGAAAATGATATTACCAGAAGCATTGGTTTCGTCAACTTTAATTTTGTCTGTCTTCAAGCTTCTTCTCCTTTCACATCAAAGCACGACTCAGAGATAAAAACAAGGAGAAGAATGCCGCGAAAATGTGAAAACAGTTTTTTTTTTTTTTTTTTTAGGGTTTTTGGTTTTTTCTTCTAGTCTAGTGACTAGTCTCTCTTGATTGACAAAAAAAAAAAAAAAAAAAAAGTCTCTCTTTGCTTCTGTGTTGCTTTGAAGTAACAACAAAATTACTATCTTCTGGTTATTATCATT